GGCCCATTCTTATGGTCCCAACGTTGACTTCCTCACCCTCTGAGTTGAGTATTGAGGTCCTTCATATGGGTCCTCTACTTCGAAGCTTGATGCTTCGGAGTTACCAGAGTTGTTCTCTGGTTTCTCATCTGATGAGCCTTTCGACTCTTCATCCGATGAGTTCGTGATTTCCATGGCAGCTATGCGCCTTGGTTTTTCATCGCTCGTTATACTGTGTCTTGGGCAATCTTTTGTTTGCCCTATTTTGCTGCATTTGCCGCAAATTGGAACTGACTTTTGGTCAGTTTTCCTTGAGTTTTTCGAGGATGTATCCTCTTTCCATCTGGGTTTCAGCTCTTCCACTTTCTTTCCTGATGGGAGGGTGTCAGGGCACACCCGCCTGACCCGGGCCCACCCGGGCCCACCCGGCCACACCACTCCCGCTCCCCGCTGTCTATCCCCTCCCCCCTCCTTCCTCCCTCTCCTCCCCCTTCTTTTCCCTTTTCTTTCCCCTTTCTTTATTTCATTCTTCTCATTTTCTTCTTCCTGTTTATTTCTTTCTATCTACACGGACCACCTTCCCTTGTATCGATGTACGATTGACCCGTCCGGCCCACACACCCCGGACGGCTTCCTGCCGTGCCCAGCACGCGCGCATGTAGCGGACGCTCTCGGGATCCCCCACGGGGACACCTGGATGCCTGCGGCTGCCTCCGAGGATGACGTGGCACCTGTCATGTGACTCAAGCCGCATGTACATAAATGTACCTGAAGTGGGAACCGAAGAAGTAACCTTCTTCTCACATTCTCCACTTCAGTCTGAGTGGCCAGGGACCACTGTCCCGGATCGGGCCCGCCAGTACGCACGCCCGCTCCACACCCCGCGACGGCCTCAGTGCCGGGCATTACCCCCGGGCCCTCTCGACCCCGGACGCGTCCCTGACAGAGGGCTCTGCCACGGCTCGTTGTTGCCGTGGTAGTTGTTCGGGTATAGTAACCTGATTTGTAGGCTGAAGACATCTTCAGCCCGTCAATTATCTCGTCTACACAAGATATTGCTTTTAACATCTCCTCGTTTGAGGAGAAGTCTGCTCTGATTCTATCATGAGCGATCATTTCCCTCTTCCATTTGAGGGGAATGTAGTTTAGGAACCTGGCGTTGAAGGACACCTGGTCTGGAGGCGTCACCATCTGGGACGCTGCTTTTGACAGTTCTAAGTAGAACTGTTTTAGGCCTTTTTCCGCTTCGTATTTGACGTTGCGGTATTTCTTTGTCGCGTTCAACGTGGCGGAGGCTTTGATGAAGGTTCTCATCAATATGTTGAGAACTTCAAGGAACATGCCCTCATCTCCTCTGAGGAGAGTTTCATCTCGGAGTCTAATTCCGAGGTCAAACGCGGGTCCCCCTAATCCACGAATCAAGCAGTCCAGGTGGACTTCGTCAAATTGGGGACCTTTGCATCCTCGCGAGGCGAGGAATCCCAGTAGTTCTGTGAACCACTGCCAGAACGATTCCATGTCGTTCTCCCCTGACCATTTCTTGTCAGGAAATGCCGGCCCATTCTTTAGGGCTTCTGGCTTCACTCCTTCTGGGTAGGGAGTGAGTATTCTCACTTCAGCCATTCTTATGGCCTTTTCATACCATTTCTCCAGGTACTCTTCTTGCTCCCCTGCCTTCATGGGGTCACTATCCAATGGAGATCTCTCCTTTGGGGGGGTTTTTGCTGGGGGAAATCTTCCTCACAGCGTTTCTTTGGTTTCAGGCGAATTTGCCTGAAGTTGTATTTGTATTCTCTCATTGTTTTGAGAGGGTGTGAATGAGTTACCTCTCTGTTCGAGAGGTCCGTCATAAGTGGATGTTTGGCCGAACCTTTGGTACGTGCCAATTCTCCTTCTAATCTCTGAACAATGCCTTCTTTCGGCATCGTCTTCTCCTATCCTTGGGAGAAGGATCTCCTTAGCGTCTCTGTCGAGTCACTGATGATATTCCAGTGTGCTTTCACTGGTGGTTCTTTTCGTGAATTTTTCACAAGTTCTATTTATGTCCTGGACCGTGGTCCAGGGGTGTCTATTTGTTTCCTCACTTTTTTGTGAGAAGTTTATTTCCTTCAGCAAATCTGTTTGTTCGCTGATTTTTTCAGTCAATGCGTCGATTGCGTTGGCCATTCTTTCTAGAGTTATCTCTAGACGAGCCATGCTATTATGGTTCGTTTCCTCGATCTTTTTTTGGATCGAGTTTATCGCGTTTATTATGCGTGATTCCTGGTTTTCCAGGAGGAAGTTTGGTTGGGCGAGCAGTGACTCTCCCCAGTTGACATTTCCGCTTCTGGGGGTTCCAGAATGGGTTCTTGGAGTGAACACTCCACGCTCGCTTTGTTTAGGCGAGGCCGTTGCGGAGGGTGCTTCCCTTTCATAGAGGGGTCTGTTCGCTGGTTTCTCCTTACTTTTACGTAAGGCTTCCTCAGCAAACTCCCTCATTTCAGTTCGCCTCCTCATCATTATCTCGGAGACCTCCTCCGAAGTTGGCGACCTTGCCTTGTCTGGCATGGTGTGTGGGAGTGTAAACAGCGGAAGTTCTTTTGGAGCTTCCGTGCTCTGGGAGATCCTGCTCTCAGGGCGTATTTTCGCGCCTTCTTGGGCTTTCAGCCTGAGAAGAAGTTGATCTTCACTTTCTGTCCTCCATTCAGACGGAACCTGGAACAAGTCCAGTAGTTTTTCGGATAGCCGTCGTGGGGGCTCTTCCCTTTGTTTCCCTTTGTCTGCCTTTGGGGCTTGACTTGGGGACGTGAGGGGGGACTCCAGGGGATAGTGGGGCCCTGGAGTTTCCTGCGACTCTATCCGATCAGCTTTTTGGGCTGATCGTTCAGCGCTTACATGTTTTTCGCGCAAGTCGATCACCTCGTGAGGAGGTGATGGATCTTCCCCAGCTTGGGTTAGATCGGTATGTTGTGGAGTTCTGGGGGTATTTCACCCCGCACTTACTCCACGTAAGTTTCTAAAGCCTTCAGGGACCAGCCCTGAGGTGGTTGCTATTGCCGGATCATGTTGATCCTCGTCGTCGTCTGACAACAGCTTTTGGTTTGAATCTCCCTTGATGGGAGATTGCGGTTTCTTTACAAACCGCTCATTTCTTTTTAGTGTCGCTGCAGATGCGACCTTGCCCTTGCGGGCGTGTTTAGGCACCATAGGTGCTTCTGAGTCAGATGTTAAGATTGTGTAGTTGTGGGTTGTGTTGTAAAACACACCTCATGCACTTAAAAAAGTGTGAGGTCTTAGGGTGGCTCAGCACACAAGGCCGTAAGTGATACAAGATAGTGTATTTTACGGTGGTGTGTAAGCGGTTACCCGGAGGTTCCCGCTTGCCCACGTGACTATGTGTATCTAATTTACATGTGACTCGGGGTTCGGGGCTATTGCCCTGACACACAGACATGCTTCCTCTTGCCCAGGCTCTCGGGGTACCCACCACCCCGGGTGAAGGAAAGTCCCTGCTCCTGCTTGAGAACATTTATATGGCTGTTCGCAAGAGTATTTGTGAGAAGTTCAAGTCACATTGGCCAGTCAAATCCAGGGGAATCATATCACACAACACGGAGGTGACACAAGTGATATCCATCTCTGACAATACCTTGGACACATTATCTCACAGGCATTCAGCTGTGGACGATCACCCTGACTCCATCAAATGGAAAGAACTGCAGAGCGCTGCAGACGCTCTGTGTACGTTGACAGGAAGGGAGCCCAAGTGGTACATAGGTGATTGCAATTGGCCATAGCGTGTTTGGAATGTGATGCCTGCTTGTCCTTGTATCTGTCAGGGCACAGCCCTTGACCCCACTCACCCTCAGACACCCTCACCCTTCTCCTAACCACCCTCTCTCTACATTTCCCCATTTCCCCTTATCCTTCCCCCCACTGTTTCACATAATGACGCGCACGCGCGAACCCGTGGGAACGTTCTGGGCAAGCGACTCACCCAGAAATGTACAGCCACAACCGTGGGAACATTCTGGGCGAGCAGCTCGCCCAGAACTTTCCCACGGGTCACACCCGTTATGGAAAGTCGGCAGCAAGCGGGAACTGTATAGTTCCTAGGGTCCTTTTGTGTCGGCCTCACAGGGGGCTGAGAAGCTTACCCTTCTTCTCAGCTCATTCCCTGTGAAGGCAAGTGTACTTACCCGCTTTTCAATGAATACCAGCTCATTCCCTGTGAAGGCTGAGGCCAGTCCCCTCAGCGACTTTGAGGAGTTAGCACCTGGGGAGAGTACCCCAGCTTCCACACCCGGCCTCGCCCTCCGGCCACTCCCAGCTGGGGTCCGGATCCTCACAGTATCCTTGTGTTCATGTTCATGTTCCCCTCCTCTTTCCTTGTCCTTGCACTCCCACTCCTGCCATCATCCTCTCTGTCCTATTGACTGTATACTAGGGTTTGAGACAGAAGTTTTTTTGCAACGTTTTTTGGTACAACTACTGTAGACCTAAAATGTTGCCTCAAATTTGTTGTTTGGGCACAAAACCAATGCCCAGTGCCAACTGTTACATAAGCCACGCTTGCACAAGTGCTGGAAAATTTTTCCCAGGGCATCCTGCTGCATAACCACTTTAATTCCATTATTTTTCCCACTCTAACAAAGAGACCCCAGTGCAATGCAGCACTGTGGCCAACTCACAACATGATGTTGAGCTAACGGTGCCACCCTTGTTATTCCCGCTGTCAGTGTGCCATTGAGGCCACTACAACTAGGCCACAACTGGGCACGACACATAACTCCTAAATCGTTTACCGGACTTCTATTCTCATTACACTGTTGGAAAGGTGTGATTTTTCTCTTTTTTATGATACCAAAAAATCGCCACGGCACAAGTATTATGATTCACTATGATTAGAATAGCATCACAAGGTCACAACCATGTTCACTGACCCCCTGGTGGACGAGTGGTGGACAACCATGCATCAGAATCAGGATTTCACGAGCCACTGCAAAAAGGGCATCATCCCCATCGGTATGTACTATTGACTGCTACTCAAACATGTAACCAATCATAGCGATATCATGCTCAGCCTTAATAAGCTGGTCATCAGATGCTCCTTCGGGTCGCTTGATTTCAACATCATTCACGTTCATTGGATATCGCACTTCTCCAATTTTACCTGCCCAGTCAAAGTCGACTAGGAGGATCCCAGGCTTACCGTCTTTCCGGACCATGATGTTGGTAGTTCGAATGTCACCATGCACAAATTCATTTTGGTGGAGGTCGGTCACCTTCCTTTCGATTTCGGATTTGAACGAGGCTTTCATGTCTGAACACCGCAACTCATGATAATCATCACCAATCAAACCCATGACAACCATATGCCAACCCCCGGGAATGTCCTGAAAGCCCTCCAAAGCAGGTGCACATTTCAATGCGACGCATTTGAGATGTGCATCCTTGGAGTACCGATGGGTGAACTTGATGAATATTTTCTTATCACCAGCGGTACCAGAGAATAAGAGTCTCTTGTGGTCGAGCCACGATAAGTATTCAAATGCGCAGTTCTCGCCGCTGTCCAGGGAAATGAAATCGGTGGGATACGGAAAGTTGACGGTAGGATCGACCGTTATCTGTGGAAGTTCGGATTTGTAGTAGTGGTTCAACGCGAAGATCGCCTTCCTTGTTGCACCCAAAAAACGTGCAGTTTGCATACGCATATTGACGTCGGATGCATGGTAGAAGAGCGGCAAAGTGGGGGCCAGGACCTGGACATGAGGGTAAATGGTCCAGAGGGCACCTGCAAAGCCAATGTGGGCGCCTAGAATATGAACTTAAGGGTACATCCAGGAAACACACGCGTAGTACTCACCAGTGAGGTAGAGAATAAAGCAAGGGAGACAGGAACGGGTTTTATCTACCGAGTGATCCCGTGTCAAGGCGTTATAATACCAGGCGGCCTCAAAGAGAGGATCAGCACCGCCCGTGGAGAGCTCTTGCTTGACTTCGAGGAGCGCATAGCAAAGGTTTTTATACCGAAGATCCCCATCAGTGCAATAGGACTTGATTTTGGTGGGCAAAAAGTCGAGTTTATAATCTGAAAAGTGATTTCGAGCTGTTTGAGCCCTGGCGTCCTCATTCTCAAAAAAAGCCGACATAGAATGGGAGAACTTCGAGGCGAAATCATGATCTTCCTTGGTGGGTGTGTAAGTTTTGCAGTCATCTTGGAACTCGCTGAAGATGCGATGATACAGTGTAATGGGTACCGTCGCGTCGGCGATTGGGGGGCGGCTGAACGCGAACGCAGGGGGCGTCTTCTTCTGGTCGGCAGCAAAGGTATCGTGGACGCCTTTGGATGAAGGCGCTTTTTGTGAAAAGGCCTCACAATACTCCTTGCGGGCTTGGGAAACAAGCCCGCCTTTATACGGGAACGCGTGACGGGTGGAAGGGGTCCCCAGCCATTTAGTGAAGGCAGCTACAGCCAATTAATCTTGTATACCAATAACTGAGCTGAGCCAACGAAACCATAACTTACTATCTGGCGGTACAAAGCGGGGCGGTCGCACGGTCAAACAGATTAGGAGTAACACAATAATTGGTCAATCATGCACTCACCAATACGTGGAACCTGGACGACAATGTGGAGATGTCTACGCTGAGGCGGATGGAGGAAAATCTCGGATAATATATCCACAGGTGATAGCGATCCGGCATCTTCAAGTTCAACCTTCTTCACATTCTCCTTGAAACTGTCATCGACCGGGATGGAAACCTTCCAGAGTGTGAGGGTCTTTGCGTCCATGTGTTCGAGAGCGAACTTATTCTTCTCCCTAACGATCTCCTTGAGGGTGCCGACAGACTCTGTACTCGCAATTTTGACCGGAAAGATATGGTCGGCATCATCGCCACGAACGAGACAATACAGTTCGAGAATAGGTGGATCTAATTGTGGCACTAAAGACGAGCTTGAATGAGAAAATATATCACAGACAGAGAAAGCACCGCGACTATCACTCACCAACACGCGGGGACCGAATAATGATGTGTAGGTTTTGATCATCAGGTTGATGCGGAAAAAGGTGGGACAATCTCTTCACAGACACTAGTACTTGTTTGTTTTCACGTTCAACATTCGCATCAAAACTGTCGTCGACTGGGATGGAAACCTTCCAGAGTGCGAGGTCATTGGCGTCAACGTGTTGGAAAGCGACCTGCTTCTTATCTTTGATTGCTTCCTTGAGGATGCCAACAGTCGCTGTCCTCGAAATTGCCACCGGGAACACTTGGGTAGCATCATCGCCAAGTAGCTAGCAGTTGAGATGGAGCGTGACAGACATGGATTATTGGCAAGTCTGAATGATCGTACAACCACGCATTCAAGTCCGCTTAGGAAAGGTTTCCCAACGCGGCGTCTGCGTTCACGGCTCCACCCGACATGAAGGGGACCCGTGACCTCCGCCCGGCGACATTAATTCCTGCCAAGTCAAATCGTGAGCGGTCCGACGGGTCCCTAGGTGGTGACCTTCTTCACTACAGCAGCTGCTAAGTACTATTGGGGTGCGGGTGCTGCACAATGAACCTATTCGAACTTAAGCTCATCTATGGTGCATGGCGTCAGATTCACACCTCGGGGAATATCAGGCGCTCCTTGCAATGGCAACCTCATGCTATGGAATGCAGTGATATTCGGACCAAGTAGCCGATGGAACATTCAAGCTGCTTCTGACGTTCGACGAGTCCTACCCGCCACCGTTGCCTAATATTCTCCATCCGAACGTTTATGCGAACGGAGAGCTTTGCTTCAGAATCGCTGGTCACCTACCCACGATGTCGCTGCGATACTAACGAGCATCCAAATGTTAGTTTCACGGTCCCATCCCTATGGGTTTCATTAGTTTTGACCCAAACCCTCGTCCAGGTCATCTTATCCTGTCAGGTATGGATTGGGTTTGGTGACTGTTCATGACTGACTTGCCTTCATAGTTCCGTTCCGCTATCAAACGAATGTTTCGCTCCCAACCATCCATCGTGAATGATAAAGTCAGATCTAATGCTTGATAGGCTATTCCTCACGCAGTGGACCCAACCTTTCGTTCAAAGTTTCCCTTTGGGATTTGGGAGAATATATCACTCGCAAAGCAGATCTTTGCACCATGACACGTGTCAGCAGGAACTGGAAAGCGGTCGCTGAACGTGCGATGTATCGCATTGTTTCACTTGAGGACGATACGATCGCACTGGGTTTCTTCCAATCGGTCATCGCTCGGCCAATTGCGGGGATCGTTTGTGTGGTCACTATTCATTGACCTGCCCGCTCATAATTTCCGGTTGGACCTTCCGAGAAATATACGCCAGAAGAAGACACCGAGGCTTCTTCTGCACGGAGCCTGCACTGACAATTTGAGAACCGTTGATAAGACTTGGGATTTGGGATTGCTCTCAAGGGTATTGACGCTCTGTCCCAACATCTTACAATTACGGCTTAGCATCATGCCAAGACTGCACAAAGCTTTCGCACCACCCCACCGAAAATATACAAGACCCCTTCGACGTCTCCAGATTTCTCCAAGAAGTCGCGGCGAAGCGAAGCCCGTGGCAATGCCCAGCTTAGGGCTGACTGGCCCATGCGAGGTCGTTAAAGCCCTAGTCCCAGGCAGACCGGTACGAGATGTCAGACTGATATGGTGTGAAGAGGATGGGAAACTTCTCGGGGCATTGACCGCGCTCGGGCAGTCGACCAGTCCAGTTTCCACGCTTACAATCCAATCTGTGGACCTACTGGATGAAAAGGCCATCGTTTTCACTGGACATGACCTTCCGTGCCTTGAATACCTCAGCATCGTTTCCCCTTATTTCCAGCTTCCGGACGACGACGTTGTGATGGTCCTCCAACGGAGCCTTGAAGGACTTCCGTGCCTGAAAGAGCTCAAGATAATGGTCCCGTATTTGCCAAACGAGAAATGGCGATCTTTCATATCAACTTGTGAGACGCCGATCGCGGTTCTTGGATGGAAAGTAGAGATACGCTGGGACATAGATGGGTGGGTGTCTTACGCGAGTGATGATGAGCACTAGCACCTAGAGGTCAGACTTCCTTTTCTCTTTTCTTTGTATGACGAAGTCAGCAGATCAGTCGATGAAAGTGTGGGCACGCAAAAGAGGGAGTTGATTGTAATTAACTTCATTATTTCAGACACTTTTCCACAAACTCCGAATTAGATCAAAAGATCGACACGAGTTCAGCGTGTTTTATCGGTCATGTCCAGATCCTTGCCGGCTGCTCAGAACACTGGGAACCAGTTTGTGACTGTGCTGTACTTTGCAGCTGCTCAATCCGCAACAGGTCTCCACACCGAGATGATTCCTTTCCCAGATACTTCACTCACGCTTGGTCAGCTCGCTCGTCTTCCAGCGGAACGTCACCCTGCTCTACAGGATGTCTTGAACGAGAGTTCGTGGAGTGTGGATGCTGAGATGAACGGGATGTGAATGAAGTTTACTTCAAGGGTGAAGAAGTCACTGTCATTTGCCCAGTATCTGGTGGTTAGCGTAGGCACCCTTCGCAATTAATTTCGACATGCTCGCCCAAACGCTATGCCATTGACCGATTATAATTAACTCCAGCGTACCTGAGGCTGTGGCATTGACCTGACCAACACTCGACGCCCACACCCCTGAAAGTGCAATGTTGTCATCAAACTCTTACTCATGATCCTCCATCACTATCCGCCACCCTTGGTCGTCCCCATCGCTAGGTGTCCTACTGTACGCTCTTCCAGAAATCGACCCAAGGAACGGGCGCCATGCTGCACCACCCAAGGGAACAGGGGAGCGCGATCGACCCGGAGCACGCGGAAGAGGCGGAGGTTCATAAACACTGTAGGTACATAGCCATCCAGTACAGCCGATAATCCCGACACCACAAGCCAGCGGACTCCGTCACCCCGCCACACCAACCAGGCACCCTTACCATGTATTGCCGATCCCCTCAGGTTGTGGTGTCGCGGGACTGCCGCACTGCCGCATATCAACGCAACAACCTTCTCCGTGCGCTCTTATGCATGGTGCTACACATGGTCCGATCTGGGCCCCGACAACTCGCGTATGGTAACAGCAAATCGTCTATGGAATCAAATCGGCAAAAACCACATACAGCTCAGACCCGAATCCGGGGACAGGCAATGGCGCAAACGCAGAAAAAAGACCATCATTAGGAAGCAGGGGAATCATGGGAAACGGAATAGAATAAGGAATTGATCAGAGTCGATCAACCGTACTAGTACTACTAGAATGGGTGGATATCTGGTTAAAGGGAAAAGAAAAGAAAAGCAAGCTAGTTACGATATACCGGTCAGAATATCAGTCCACTTTTGGCGCTAGACGGATTTAAGGAAAAGGGAAACAGACAAAACTTGTAGCTGACAGCAAAGCCCCAAGGTGGGGGTAGATTGAGAAGAACAGAGACAATAATGGGACGGGGAAGAGTGTGAATGTGCTACAATAATGTATGGGACGAGGGTCGAGAGAAAGATGAACGCATGAAACCCAAAACAAACTAGGCGGAGCGAAAGGCGTACAGAGCACATAGTCTCAAACCGGAGAACACCAATGAGGAACTCAAATTAAGGGAGGGGTATGTATAAGAAATAAATTGCGAGATTCTAAAAGTTCGACAGAAACGCCCAAAATAGCCAATGCCTTTACGAGTTCTTTCCTGGCTGTATCAAGATCATCATAATCAAGCGCATTAATAGCGTACTTCGCAGCCTTCTTAGCTTTCGCCATATCCTCAGGGGAGATGGCATCAGGAAGAGGGGGAGCAGAGTGACGCAGGTACGGCGTTGGTGGGTAATGAGATGACACGAGAGGTAGAGCAGGAGCAGGGGCGATGGATGGGGCAGCAACGGGGGGAAACTTGGGGCAGGAGGCGAAACCAAAATCGGCAGAGAAGAAATGGACGGGAAAGATGGCACATCCGGTAAAATCGCAGAGATAGGTGGAATGACATTTACACCCTTGACACCTTCAGATTCAAACGAGGCAAAATTTGGAGGTGGTTAGCCAGAGAAGGCACGAGATGGCTAGCTTCATCTGGCCCGTAGTACAGGGTGCAATTCTCTGGACTCCACCGAACTCATCTGGTACTGAAAATCCCTTCATGCATTCTGGGACAACAATGGACATTTCTCCTCCCCCCGGAATAAGCAGGCCAACTGCAAGAGGAGGCCAAGATCAGGTCGGAAAGACCCAGTATTCGTGCCGCGGTTGCTGTGGCATATCCACTGGGGATTTCCAAGACAGGTCGTGAGAATGTACAGGATGTTGTTTTCGGAAGACATCCTCGTGAGAAGCTCGCTGACAAGACTCGCGGGCCTATGGCCCTGCTCAGTATGTGCTTGGTATGTGATTCTTCTCCAGCACTACTAGTTGTTGACCCGTGGATTTAGGCTACTATGCAATTGGTGCTGATATCGCCTTCAGGAGAACCACTGGTCGATTAGAAGGATTTGGACTGATCAGTAAGTATGCCCATTCCCACTTCTGACCTCTTGTTTCAATGGCTCGCGACTAACGTTGCTTACATGCTTGGATCATCACGCTCAGTTGACTTTGCTCGAAATTTCAATCCTGCATGCGAAAGTCGAAGCAGGAAATGCATCATCCCCTCTGTCCGCTTCCTCCGCTGTCGTTTCAGGGCGTTGCTTCGGGGCATCTGTGGGGTTCTGGTAATCCAACATCCTAGCCTTGGCACCATTATCAACTCTTAAACTTCGCATGTGTCTGACTCGGCTTGATGCAGGCTTGGGGAGCCTCTACGAGGTGCTCAACGTGCAAATCTGCACTTTCTTGACTTGCCCGATGTCGACTCTGAGCATATCGCATTGCTACCAAACTTGTCACATATATTTACATGAGCCCTAAGAGGGAGCAGAAGGAGGGCTGACTGTGAAAATCAATCGCTCTCAAATGGTGTTGTGCTGGTTCATCCTGTCGAAAAGTCAGGAAGATGAGGATCGCAGCCAGCAAGACACAGGCGTGGCCTATGGATAAGCATACGGCTTATATATAATCCAAGTAGCGTGTAACTTGTGGTAAAAGCAAGCCACAGCCGGTTGGCACCGGTATGCAGCGATGCGAGCTGTATGTGTACTCCAGCCATGGGCGACTAGGATACAATATTGAATCTTGATACGTTGCAAGCTTGATTGACATAGTTTACAGGTACACACAACCGTCAAACCAGGCTATAAGTGGTGACTCGGATTCATGGAGGTTCATTGGGCATGCGGGCGAAGATGCTGCAACCCAATGTTCAGTCTTGCCTTGGCTGTGGCTTAGCGGAATCATATCGCATGCTGAGAGCTTCCACAAAACCAGCTGGTTTGCATCCAGATGATCCGGTTGGTGGGCTAATTTAAACTTCATAGTGTCGCAAAGGAAGTCAACAGATTTGCGAGGCGACACATTCAGAGAAAAAAACACGGCAGCGAGGTGGTTTCTTCCATGGTCAACCGCCAAGCAAGTAAGAGTGATGGAAGTGGCCATGGGCAACTGTTCTCGGAAAACCGGCAACAGCCGTTGTGACGGCCATTCAAACTGTGCCAACTTCACCAAATAATCATCACAGAGGGCTGGCCTGCCAATGAATGCTGACGTCACAATAAATGACTCAATCGGCTTGCACCGAGGTGCGAGGATGCCGATTACCATCATCTCAAACTGATCTCTCATGCCAGGAAGACCACACCTGCAGAAATAGATCCATTCTCCCAGCCCAATCACACTAGTACGATTTCTGACCATGAATATTTTTGCGTTGTGCCAGGATATGAGTTTGCCCAACGACCATGGCAACCTGTTCCGTGGGCCGATTGGTGGCACAAAACCAAACGAGATGCCTGAGCTGCATGAAGTGTTATGGCTTCTTTCACTCAGTGGGCATCCGTGAGCACCGGATGGTGTTGTGCTATACATTCCATGTTACGCTGACAACATCTCTGTGACCCAGCCGTTTGCACGCTGCAGGCCTCGCTCGTGTTGCTGTGAATTTTCATAAAACAGATTTTTCGTGCTGTTTAACTTCGACTGTAGGTTTGTTGGGTTACCCAGCACTGATGCCGTCGAACCATCATCAAAGCAAGATTACCAACGCAGCGCAGGGCTCGACACCAGTGCTGGGAAAGCGAGGAGAAACCGATTGCAAACACTCCATCATATTTCGTGGCGAAACTAACGAAAATTCGTGGTTTTCGAGCAACGGCGGAATGTGTATGTGCCATTCCCATAGACATTGACAGCCTCTTTGGGCTCTGGTGGAACCTCGACGTCTTGGCATTGATGGAGACGGTGCAGTTTGGCGGTTTTCGTGAGTGGTCCAACGGTGCGCACCATGCTCGAGCTGGCAGCCTGGCATTGCTCGTCTCGGTGAGCGACCTTGCGTCCTGCTATGTACTTGCCTACGTAGACAGGGATTTCAACCGTACCTTATGCCAAGACAAAGCCGCCCGGTTGCAGGCGAGCACTTCGCCCCCCCCGGCACGTAAATCCGGAGCCTTACCTGCTTGGATGGAGCGGACATGGTATCGTATTCGATCTCAGTGCGTTTGGCTTTTTTCTTATCTTATCGCCTCATTGCCAAGTTTTCATGTCTACTTATTCAGACATGACTTATGTGTGGTGAAATGGCCCAATATCGGCAGCGTTCATCGCTCGCCTTTTTGCTCACCTCGACACAGCCCACCCCATTCCCCCTTCCTCCGACATTGTCACTTCCACCGGCCAATATTGGTGCGATACAACTGCCACATGTTGGCAATGTTCATCTCACCTCTTTTCTTGCACCACGCACCAACCCCCATCCTGTCGTTTCGGCTCCATGCATCTTCGGTGGCTCTCGCCATGTCACCTGCCTGTCCATCCTGGCCTGCCTCGCTTCCAACAACATCATTTTCGCGAGCCCCTTTCTACAATATTACCAAGGTGCCAAAAAAATCGGTGCATTCAATGATTTGATTGAGTGACCAACAACCCATGGTTTCAGAGTACTTGTATTACATAGTTACAATATTACTCTC